GGGGGGGGGGGGGAGGCGGTTGGACTGTGGATTTCTCATGAGGCTGCCTGTTTTATTCTCACTTTAAGTCCTAAGGATGAAATATCCTTTTCTCCCCACCCCGCACCGCGCACGCTGGGTTAACGTTTCCAATAGACTATCTATTGCAAACCCCAAAGGCTTGGGTACAGAGCAGAGAAAGAAGTGAATCTGGAATATGTGACTCTTGCCTCTCACATTTTCCAGATTCACTTCTTTCCATAGTTTATGCAAGTCTTGTCAATGGCCCAGCTGCACAAACCAAACCCCTCCGGCCACCCTCGGCAGCCCTGGGCCTGCAACTCGAGAGGCTGCGAAGCATCTGAAAGGCCTCCCGGAGTGAGATCCATGGGCTGCACTGGGCTTGGCAGTGAAAACCCAAAGCCACAGGGGCAAGAAAACACACATCCCTCTGGGTTCCGCTGGTACCTGAGGTCTCAGGAAGCTTAATTTTGACATTTCCATGGGAAATGTCAGGGGGGACCTGATGGAGACATATAAAATGATGCAGTGGATGGATATAAAGTGGAGAGAGGGAAGCTCTTCTCCCTCTCACGCAAGACCAGCATCAGGGGACATCCAATCCAATGGAGGGTTGGGAGAGTGAGAAGAGACCAAAGAAAATCTTTCTTGACCCAGCATGTTGTTAATCTGTGGAACTCCTTGCCACAGGATGTGGGGATGGCCTCCGGCATCTAGATGCCTTTAAAAGGGGACTGGGCAGATTCCAGGAGGAAAAGTCCTATTACAGGTGACCAGCCATGATGGGGAAGTCTAATCTCCAGGCTTCGAAGGAAGGGACCTCCAAAGGCCAGAAGCAGGGGAAGGGGAATCAGGAGGCAGGGTCTCTCATGGTCTCCCAGAGGCATCTGGTGGGGCCACTGGGAGATACAGGAAGCTGGACGAGACGAGCCCTTGGCTTGATGCAGCACAGGGCTCTTCTGAGGTTCTTATGATTTAGTCTTGGATTGCACAGAGAATTGGCGGAGATGCCACTGGGCTCAAGAGAGTGCCTGTTTCCCTTATAGCTGAATCACTGCCGGCTGTCTCTCCCAACGAGTAACAGGAAGAAAGGGCATCATTTCCAGCCAGCTGGGAATCTCTCTTGTTCGGGGTGGGGGTGGGCTGCCTTTATCCAAACGTACAGTGGACCGCACTAATAATGGATCAAGTCAAAAGCTCCTTGCCTTTCCTGCAGTACGGACTTCCTCTCAACGGGGAGGCCCCGATTCATCTGCCCCACCTCCAGGGTTTTGACTCAAGCAGAGCCTGGAGAAAGTGATTCTGCAGGACTCTGGACCGCACAGTCTCCGAACCAGCAAAGCCATGGGGACTTCCCCAAAGTCACTTTTTTGGGGACAGTGCCTTAGGAATTTCCTAAGCACACAAACACACACACAAACACACACACACACACACTCCATGCGCTACTTCTGGCAAACCCCAGGAATCTCCTCTTTTCGCGCCAACATCCACTCCTATGGCCCTGTTTGTTCTCAGGCTTTGCCTTCTCTTGCAGAAGGTGAGCCGAGCACTCATTACATCCTTGGAGAGATTAGGGAAAAAAGTAAGTGCATGCATGGGGGGGAGGGTTTGCACGTTTAAGCCGGTTGATTATTAACACCCCCCCTCCTTGCCTCGGTGACCCTTTGCCCTGCTCACAGCCTCCCCCGCCTCCTTCCAGGTGGCAGGACCCGCTGCCTTGCCAAGAACTTCAAAGCAATCAGCCAGAGCGCTGCGGAGAGGGTTGCCAACGTGTGCTTGGCACCGGAGAGGAGCTTAATCACGCCCGACAAACGCCATGCCTCCCCGTGGCTGAGTTACCGAGTTAATGGATGCCAGGGACGAGCGTGCAAGGAAGATGGCGAAAGTCTATTAGCATGTTTGACACCGTGCCTCGGGAAATCTGTCGAGGGAGGGCCAACGCTGGTGTAATTGGATCTGAGCGGTGCCGCTGGGGCAGGAGGCACCGCACACAGCCAGGAAAACACAGGGCATTCCTGTTGGAGTGTGTGTGAGTGTGGGCATCGAAAAGGAGAGGTTATTAATAAGCCCGAGCTTATTAAACATCCCCGTTCACTCCCTGGGAAGGGGGAGGAGTAAACAACATGTTAATTAAATTCCTGGAAGGGGTCCAAATTAGGGACAAGCATCTGCAAAGAGGGGAGAGGTTAGGGAGAAAAGGCAGCTGCCAACAGGACATGAACAATCCGTAAGCAACCCTGGCTAAGTCTCGGGGGGGGGGGGAATCCTCTCTCCAAGATGGCTGGAGAGTGGATGGGACAGTCCACCCCACTGGCCAGGCATAAGAAGCAATATGGGAAAGGAAGCCTCAGCACAAATCCGGAGTCCGGGCAAGGGGAAGCCCGATGGAAGAGTCTTCTTGAAGCCCCCCCCCTCCTTTGCTGTTGTCTTCCCCAGGGCAGCTACTAGTTGGCTCGGGCATGTCATGAGAACGGCTGATGGCTGGATTCCAAAAGATCTCCTGGATGGAGAATTAATGCAGGGAAATCGCCCCAAAGGGAGACCCCAGCTGTGATACAAGGAGATCTGCAAGTGGGATCTGAAGGCCTTAGGAATGGACTTCAACAGATGGGAAACCCTGACATCTGAGCGTTCAGCCTGGAGGCAGGCAGTGCATCATGGCCTCTCCCAATTTGAGGAGGCCCTTGTCCAGCAGGCCAAGGCAGAGAGGCAGACCCGAAACCAGCCAAATCAGGGAGCTGGACAGGGGACAGATTGGATTTGTCTTCAGGGTGGAAGGGATTGTTGTCACTCTTGAATTGGCCTCCTCAGCCACACTGGACGCTGTTCCAAGTCCTCTATTCAGACCACGTTACCCTAGTCTCTCGAGACTGAAGGATGCCCAACAATCGTTTGCATCTGTCCCCTTCATTGGCAGTCTCGCAACCTTCCGGTGGCTCCTAAAAAGGAGAAGCCCTGCTATTTTCTGTCCATCACTCACTCCTCTCCTCCTTTCCTATCGGCTAACGTCTCTTTCAAAGATGGCCTATAGCACACACACCCCACCGCACCCTGGACACATGCTCCCCTCTGGCACACGATCCACCATCTAAATTAGGAATCGGGCATTCCCGTCAGTTTATTTTCTCAATAAATCTGAGTCACTCTTTTCTCTTTAAGCTCAGCTTCTGCAGGGTTTGTTGCTCCAGACGACAGAGAAACAAAGGGGGTTTAAATATCCACAGAAAAACTCTGCCGCGGCTTTTCTGCTAATAAACCACCACTTCCTGTCTTTGTTGGTCAGTTTTCCTTTCCTTTCCACCTGTTCATGTCTCTCTTGAAGGTGGGCTATGCCCCCCCACCCAACATGCTCCGGTATAGTGCACGGTCAGCTATTTTCTCTACCAATCATTTTCTAAATAAATCTGAGTCACTCTTTTCTCTTTAAGCTCAGCCTCTGGTTGCAGCTTCTCTGCTCAGCAAAGGGGTCTCTCCTAACTGGGAGTCCCCCCAAATTTCCCAACAATTTTTTGGGGGGTTTACTTTGGCTCTAGCATTTATTCATGCAGGCAGTGCAGTCAAGAACGCACCTGCGCGCATGCTGCAGCACCAGGTAAAGGTAAAGTTTCCCCTTGACATTTAGTTCTGTCGTGTCCGACTCTAGGGTGCGGTGCTCATCTCCGTTTCCAAGCCGTAGAGCCAGCGTTTGTCCATAGACAGTTTTATCTACTTGCATTTTTATATGCTTTCGAACTGCTGGGTTGGCAGGAGCTGGGACAAGCGACGGGAGCTCCCTCCTTCGCGTGGATTTGATCTTACGACGGCTGGTCTTCTGACCTTGCAGCACAGAGGCTTCTGCGGTTTAACCTGCAGCGCCACCACGACCAGGCATTTGTCAAATCCGTACCAAGCTCCTGCATCAGGTGAAGCATGGGATGGAGGTAGGAGGCGACACGGAGCTTTGACAGCGAAGCCAGCTCTGTGCCACCTGGGCCCCGGCTTGGACGCTCCTGGGATTCTACCCAGATTACCGAGCAGGCTCCCAAGAATATGAGTGTGGGCCAAAGGGCTGCTACTTGATTTTTTTCCCCAGCTACACATGGCCAGGGACTGAATCTGGATCCTTCTTTCAGTATACAAACCAGGGACTCTTCGGCCAACTTACGACCTCTCTGCAGACCAGCCTCTAGGTTTTCTCTTGGGGTCTGAGCTTGGGTTTTTCCCTCAAGCCTGCCCTGATTTTGGGGAGCTGCTGGATGGAGCACAGAAACCTTCTCAAGTTCTGCAGGAGGAGGAGCACTGGCTAGAGAGGAACCACCGCCAGGTACAACCGGAGGCAGCTTTGTTGATTCACCTAAAGCCACCCGAGCACTTTGAGGCCAGCGCGAGCTCAGAGGGCTTTACCTGTTGGACGGCTTCCTGTTCGAGATCCTCTGGCTCCCACATCAGCGTCAGCTGAGGCTTCCTGCCGGTTTTCTGAAACTGGAACCCCACCAGAGGCAAAGCCTGCAGGAGAGACAAACCAGTTTGTTTAAGGGGATCATCCTGATGGGCTCACCAAAGCCAGGAGGTGGGAAAATAGAATCTAAGGTGGGTGCCAGGGGCTAAAATTTGAGGAGGAAAGGGGAGGGCTCTGGTCAGATCCAGTGCCTCTTGTCGGAAGGAGGAACGCCACTTTCCAGATATGGCAGAAATGCAAAATTAAAAATAAAAGAACAAAAATACCAAAGCTATTTTACCGGTTTTAGGCAGCGCTGAGAGAATGACGTTATAAAACACATGTTTTATGTTACTCGTAATGATTGGAAAGCTAACACTACACTACAGTGGGAGTGCAGGGGGGCAGAAGCCTATGCTTGAGAATAAAATAGCTGAAGACCTGAAACATTTTTCTCGAAAAGCTTTATAAAAGTTAACTTTTGAAAGCAACTACAACTGTTACTCATTCGGCCAGTAATGCAACCTTGGTCCTCCTCGCTACCTTATTATTATTATTATTATTTTGAGAAGTAGCTTTCTTTCTTCCCTGTGACCCACAAAGCCACTACAGTGACCGCTGCCTATGTTACTTGTTGCTAATTATTTTCTAGCTTCTGGTTTTAAGTCTGTCGCATCCGCTCTGTGGCAGCAAGCCTAGGTTGGCCCCTGAGCATAAGCTCCTAGGAATATCCCTGGTTTTTTGGACCAGCTGCCATCCCCACAATGGGACCGAGCGGGAGCATCACCTTGGAACAGGCGGGAGCTGCCATCTGTCTTCTGCAGGAGCCCAAGAATGGTGAAAGTTCTCCCCGGTGCCTCCTTCCCCATTTCCAAAGGTGAAATTAACACGAACTTCTCCCCGTTTCCTTGTTTTAAGAGGCAAAAAAGGTCTCCTGTGCCATTATCAGCTCATTTTTATGGTGCCGTTATGAGGGGATAATGATCCCCCTTGGAAGGGTTCGGATGGAGGGGCAGATGGGAGTCAGAAGGCCTCCCCTCCGCCTGCCTCCTCCTGGCAGCTGCTGCGCCAAGGGCAGCCCGTTACCCTTGAAAGCAGAGGTACACGAGGCCCCGGTGAGCCATCCGGGAAGGTGAACAAGATGGGAGAGCCACACAGAGGACCTGGGGGGCGGGGGAGGGAAGGCACAAGCAGAAGCTGTTTGTGGGGAGGGGGAGGGGAGAGAAGAGAGGATCCCTGGCCAGGGTTTTTATTTATTATTATTTATATATTTTATTAGATTTATACCCTGCCCATCTAGACCAAAGGTCTACTCTGGGCGGCATTACAAATTTAAAAACAGTAAAACATGCAATAAACACGCAATGCAATAAACACGCAATGCAATAAATCCAAGATGTTAAAATGTGAATTTAAGATTTTAATTTCCCCCTCCGTCCCAGCTCCTCCTCCGGGCACACCGCCTGGCATGGAGCCCATTTGTCCTTGGCCAGGACCTGCATAACTAAACTGGCAGCTAAAATCGCTTAACATGTGTATACCTCCCGGTACCTCTCTCTCTCTCTCTCTCTCTCTCTCTAGTGCATTTACACAGCAGTCTAGGTGTGGTGAGTGACCAACCCTTCCTCCCATTTTACAGAGGGAGAAACCCAGGGTGAGACACAGGGATTGGCGCCAGGGTCTGTCCTTAAGGGGAGGGGAATGCCGTTCTTGGTCCTTGTGAGAGAACACAGCTGGTGTGCCAAGTTAATGAACCTTCTAGGCATCATCAAAACAGAGACTATTCCGGCCCAAGGTGGGCACCAGAGATGCCGCTGCGTTTTCTGGGAACGTGCAGGGCCTGCGCAGAGCTCCGGATGTGGGCCATCCCGGAGATGGCGAGCCCAAAACAACGGAGAACAGCACAAAATGGACCAAATTTGTGGGGCCTCTTGAGACTGGAGGAGATGCTCACGTTGCAGTAGATGCGCTTCTGGACGCCAAACTTCAGCACCAGGACGTCAAAGGCTTCGTTGAGGACGCCCATCACCATGGCTTCAGACTCCAGGGGCCCACATTCCTGGAAGACACAGGAAGAAAAGAGGGTCAGTCATGGACCCCAAAAGTCTCTGGAAGTCCTCCCTCCCAGATGCTCTCGCCCTCTGAGCCACCATCAACAGAACCCCGCTGGACCAATGGGGGGAGAAAGGGGACGAGACGATCTCTCGGTGGACCGTCTGTCGGGGAGCGGCCTCCTTCCATCCCACGCCCTCGCTTCTAGGAAGCAGCAGTGGGTGGCGGTATCTTGTTAAGAAGAAGAGCTTGCATTCCAGGTGGGAAAGAAAACCAGGAATCTCAAAGGAAAGCCAGAAAGCAGATAGGAAGGATGCCAACTGACAGGTGGGGACAAGATTTAGCAGGGAAACGGCAGGTTTGCGAAAGGGTCCAGAAGATGTGTGCTACAACCTGGGGAGGGCTTCCCGTGGCCTCCGTGGCTCCTCGGTCCCCAATACTCCCAACCCTCTGGGTTTTCTGCTCCTGCAGCCATCCGGACGAGGTAGGGATTGTTTGTTGGTTTGGTTTTGCTTTCGGGAGGTTGGTGGCGGAGTCACTCCAAGCCCCTGCCAGCCTCCCAAGTCAAAACCCGAAGCGGCCATATGGGCACTTCTCCTTCTGATTCATTTGGGGCCATTTCGGGGCCTGGCGACCCTTCCAGCTGCCAACCCCATCCTGCTTATTCTGGCCTCCCATTTGGCACTTACCCAATTATTCCCCACGGTGCCGGGTGGGGAGGGCATGAAAACCAATGCTGCGCCTTCTTAAAAAAGGCCCCCTTGCACCCTCTAGTGGTTATGAGAGCCATTTCACCAGACCTTTTTCTTAGAGCTGTTTTAGATCCAAGATGCAACTATGCTTCCAGAAATGACCTAAGTTGGGTCTCCACGGGCACCCTGTTTAAACAGCACCCTGGCAGCTGTGCCAGCCTGCCCGTGGTGGGAAGCTGCCCAGCTACTGACGTTACGGTCGCTGTCCTGACCCTGCCGTGGAGGCTTCCCGACCACCTCAGCCCAGGCCAGCCAGGGCCACTGGCTCATGTGGGGGCAGCTCCAGGGGCTCCTTTTCCCCCTGCATGGCAAGCGGGCAAGGCTGCCCCAAAGCCCGAGCCGGCCAGCCAGTCGGCTGCCGACTGCTCCGAAGGCTGCTTTGATGCGACGGTTCTCATTCTAACAGAGAGCAGGCGGTTTTCTCGTCTGTTTTCAAATCATTTGCATTTAAAAAAACGTACCGTGGGTGCGATGACATACGCGGTTCCTGTCCAATGAGATGCTTTCCCCCCCCACAAGAAAAGCCTTTGCTTTCGGGAGGCCTGTGAGGTCCCTGGAGGGTTTGGGCAACAGAACACCAGCCCCGCATCCTGCCAGAGGATCTAACCCACCCCCGATCTGGCCCATTCCTGGCCCCTCCAATTCACTGCCCCTCTGGTTGTGTCAAATCCTCTTACAGGGTCCCAGCCTGACCTAGAGTGGGGGGGGCAGCTGCAGCTCCACCCCCCTTACCCCCTTACCCATCCAACGAGATGTGGGGGGCCCGGACTGGAAGATGTCAAGGACGACAGCTCTGATCAACTGGCTCCAGCTCCCCACATCCCTGGCCCCCTTTCTCTGCAGCTTTTTAATAATAATAATAATA